ACAAAGAGATGCCTTGGACCTGATGGCTTCACTGGTGAATTCTACCAAACATTTAAAGAAGAACTAATACCAATCCTTCTCAAAATTTTCCAAAATATTGAAGAAGAGGGAACATTTCCTAACTCATTCTGTTAGGCCAAAGTCAGACAAAGTCACTACAAAAAAAGAAAACTACAGATCGATATCCCTTATGAACACTGATGCAAAAATCCTCAGCAAAATACTAGGAAACTGAATTCAGCAGCATATTAAAAGAATTATATACCATGACCAAGTGGGATTTATCCCTGGAAAGCAAGGATGCTTCAACACATGAAAATCAATCAATATAATACACCACATTAACAGAATGAAGGAAAAAAAACCTCATGATTATCTCAATTGATACAGAAAAAGCATTTGACAAAATTCAACACTCCCTCATGATAAAAAAACATGCAAGAAACTAGGAATAGAAGGAAACTACCTCAACATTATAAAAGTCATATATGAAAAACCCACAATGAACATCACACTCAATGGTAAAAGATTAAAAGATTTTCCTCTAAAATAAGGAACAAGGCAAGAATGCCCATTTTTGCCACTTCTATTCAACATAGTACTAGAAGTTGTAGCCAGTGCAATTAGGCAAGAAAAAGAAATAGAAGGCATCCAAATTGGAAAAGAAGAAGTAAAATTATCTCTCTTCACAGATATTATGATCTTATATGTAGAAAACCCTAAAGATTCCACCAAAAAACCCTGTTATAACTATTAAATGAATTCAGCAAAGTATAGGATACAAAGTCAGTTGTATTTCTACACTAAAATGTAGAAAACCTACATTTCTACACAAAAACCAGTTGCATTTCTATACACTAACAATGAACAATCTGAAAAGAAAATTACAAAACAAATACATTTACAATAGCATCAAAAAGAATAAAATACTTAGAAGGTGAAACCAAGTATTGGAAAACCAAGTATTTCCAACCAATGAGGTGAAAGACATGTACAGTGAAAACTACAAAACATTGCTGAAAGAAATTTAAAAAGATATAAATAAATAGAAACATATCCCATGTTCATGGATTGGAAGACTTAATATTGGTAAGATGTCTATATTACCCAAAGCAATCTACAGATTCACTGTAATCCCTGTCAAAATCCCAATGATGTGTTTTACACAAATAGAAAAATCTATCCTAAAATTCATATGGAATATCAAAGGACCTTGAATAGCCAAAACAATCTTCAGTAAGAACAACAAAGCTGGAAGACTCACATTTCCTGATTCCAAACTTACTACAAAGCTACAGGAATCAAAACAGCATGGTTCTGGCATGAATACAGACATATAGACAAATGTAATGGAATAAAAAGCCCAGAAATAAACCCTCTGATATATAGTCAAATGATTTTTGACAAAGGCACCAGGACCATTCAATGAGGAAAGGACAGTCTTTTCAACAAATGGTGCTGGGGAAACTGAATATCCACATGCAACAGAATGAAGTTGGACCCTTCATATACAAAAGGAACTCAAAATAGATCAAAGACCTAAATGTAAGACCTAAAACTATAGAAGAAAACATAGGGCAAAAGCTTTACAACATTGTATCTGGCAATGATTTCTTCAATAAGACACCAAAGGCACAAGCAAAAAAGAAAAAAATAGACAAACTGGAGTTCATGAAAATTAAAAAATTTTGTGCATGAAAAGATAATATCAACAGAGTAAAAAGGCAACCCACAGAATGGGAGAAAATATTTGCCAATCATATATCTGATAAGGGATTAATACCTAGAATTTATAGAGAACTGCTAAAATTCAACAACAAAAAACAAACAACCTGATTCAAAAATGGGCAAAGGACTTAAATAGACATTTCTCCAAAGAAGATATAAAAATGGCATTGAACACATGAAAAGATGCTCAATATCACTGATCACTAGGAAAATGCAAATCATAATTACAAGACACTACCTCACACCCATTAGGATGGCTACTATCAAAAAAAAAACAGACAATAACAAGTATTGGTGAGGATGTGGAGAAATTGGAACGCCTGTGCACTTTTGGTGGAAATGTAAAATGGTACTGCCACTATGGAAAACAGTATGGTGTTTTCTCGAAAAATTAAAAATAGAATTACCATATGATCCAGCAATTCCACTTCTGGGTATATATCTAAAAGAATAGAAAGCAGGGTCTCAAAGAGATATTTGTACACCTATGTTCACAATAGCTAAAATGTGGACACAAGCCACTGTCCATCAATGGATGAATGGATAAACAAAATGTGGTATATATATTCAATGGAATATTAGCCTTAAAAAGGAAGGAAAGTCTGACATATGCTATAATATAGATAAACCTTGAGGACTTATGCTAAGTGAAATAATCTAGTCACAAAAAGATAAATACCACATAACTCCACTTATATGAAATACTTAGAGTAGTCAAAATCATAGAGACAAAATAGACTGATGGTTACCAGGGGCTGAGGAGAGGCAGAAATGGGGAGTTATTGTTTAATGGATATAGAGTTTCAGTTTTACAAGATGAAAATAGCTACAGAGTTGGATGGTATTGATAGTTGCACAACATTATAAATGCATTTAATATCACTGAACTGTACACTTTAAAAAATGGTTAATATGATAAATTTTATGTTGTCTGTATTTTACCACAATAAAAAAGTTGGGAAAAAATCAGAAAGGTATCAGAATTTTCAACAGGTATCCTGAAAGCTAGAAAACAATGGAACAATGTCTTCAAAGTTCTGAGAGAAAATTATTTCCAAAGTATAATTTTATACTCAGCCAAACTATCATTCAAGTTTGACATTATAATAAAGACATTTACAGCCATTCAAGAGCTCAAAAAATTCACCTGACATTCCTTCACTCATTCTCAAGAAGCTACCCATAAAAATTATGAAATAAATCAAGAACAAAAGAAGACAGCATAGGGCCGGCCCCGTGGCTTGGTGGTTAAGTGAGCGCGCTCCACTGCTGGCGACCCGGGTTCGGATCCCGGGCTCACACCGACGCGCTGCTTCTCCGGCCATGCTGAGGCCGCGTCCCACATACAGCAACTAGAAGGATGTGCAGCTATGACACACAACTATCTACTGGGGCTTTGGGGGGAAAAAATAAATAAATAAAATCTTTAAAAAAAAAAAAAGAAAAATAGCCAACGGCTTTCTAAAAAAAAAACTATGTTTTAAAGAAGACAGCATATCCAGGAGACAGGAGATGTGACACAGGACAGCACAACATCTGTGTATCAGGTCTAGAGACCAACCAGTCCAGACTGGAACAGGGGAAGTCTGCAGAAGAAATGCCTCCAGAAAAGCATATGGATGGACAGATTGTTTGATATGCTTGAATATTTGGAAATACTATTGAGACGTGTTTGACAGATCTATTAAAGCCATTTGTAAAAAAAAAAAAATAGTGATAGATATGGAAAAACTAAGCATATGAGAAAAGGAGGAAGTTAATAACACCATGGGGGAAAAAAAGCTCTATGCAAAAAGGAACAAAATCAACCATTAGGTCAGTGGCAAGTAACATTTACATAATCAAAAAATATAAAGACTAGTTTTTCTATTTAACAAAAAAATACAATATAACTATACTGGGACAGTAAAAGATGAGGTGCAAGTGATTACTCATCATGAGGTAGTTAATAAATGGATATCTAAAATTACTAAATTAAGAAGTGCAACACAGAGCCAGCCCTGACCGCCTAGTGGTTAAAGTTCGGCGCTCTCACCACTTCGGCAGCCCGGGTTTGTTTCCTGGTCATGGAACCACACCACCCGTCTGTCAGCAGCCATGCTCTGGCAGTGGCTCACCCAGCAGAACTAGAAGGACTTACAACTAGGATATACAACCATGCACTGGGGCTTTGGGGAGGGGAAAAAGAAGAGGAAGATTGGCAACAGATGTTAGCTCAGGGCCAATCTTTCCCTGCAAAAAATAAAAAGATATGCAACATAGTAATATTACTTTACAAGTAAGGATGTAAATAAACAGATGAAGACTTGAAAGCAGTTGCCTTAGGGAAGAGAACTAGGAGTAGGGGAGACAGAGGATCACTTAGCAGCTCTGCTGGGAACACACTCCCCACCCCACTCACCCTTTACCACTCTGCTCAGCCTTTCAGACTTTCCTTCCTCCTTTAGGTAGAGATATGTACTTCCCTCCAAGATCCCCTTATCCCTAGGCCTCTGTCAAAGCACTCATTACCCTGTATTTTCATTTTCTCTCTGTGGTCTAAATATGCATCTGACTTGGGCCCCCTGAGAGCAGGCACCTGTCTCCTCCTTGTAATCCCATCACCTATCACACACTTGCCACTCAAAGTTGGTTGAATGACTAAAACAAGGAATCAGGGGTGTGAGTGAAGTGAGAACAGCAGAAACCAAAAGCTCAGGGTCTCCCTCTACTTGACAAATTTCATGTAGTCAATATTTTTTGAGTGATTGGCTGGGGCTGCTCCCTACTTCTCAAGAATCTTAGGAAAAGAAAGTTAATTTTCTCTGGTTGGAATGGACTAAGGGTGGCAACTATTGCGTCCAATTTTGCATATTTTCTGCAATTAATAAGTGTTACTCAGGATAACATACTATTTTTTAGCAATATATGTGGAAGGCTTTTTAAAATGCAATACAAATAAGTGCAATATAAATAAAATGCATCTATATGCAAGAGATTGATGAAGCAATTAGACACAGACCTGAGTTACACCACGCTTTCTTTTTCTGTGTTCTGTCTCTTTAAATAACCCCCTCCCAGCTCCCCAAGATTCCTCTCTAATGGCTCCAGGGTGTTTCCCTTTCCCTGTAGGGCTGTGAGGGAGCAAGTCTGGCGTAAGGAAAAGATGCCCAGAGCCACACGCTGGGCTCGAGAGGTCTGTGCAGGTCGGAGGAATGGGAGGAAGGGAAGGAAGCAGCCGCCCCTCCCCGCCCAATTTCCAGCATCCTCCTTCTCCTCTCCCTTCCATCTACCTTCCGGTGCCCGTAGAACCAGTGGGTGGGGGGCGCGGGGAAGGGGCGCAGGTCTCGTAGCAGCCGCTGCCTCCGCAGGTAGAGCTTGATGGCCTGCATCAGTCCCAGGGCCAGACAGAACACGAAAGCCAGGTAAAAGGGCCGCGCCCAGCGCGTCTCCAGCCAGGAGGACTCCATCGCTGTGCGCCGCGCGGATTGCCGGCAGTCTGCGCGGCCGAGGAGAGCGGGAGCGTTCTCGAGCCCCGCGCTTGGGAGGATCACCCAGCCCACCCGTCTCTGTGGCCTCCGGGAAGATCGAAGAGGAAGAAGGAAGAGCGGTGGGAAGGGCAGCTCGGGCTCCGCCGGAGGAGGCAGGAGCGAGTTCCCGGATTTCTAAGCCTGTCTCAACTGATGCAAACCTTCATTCGGGACGACTTCTTGTGCCCTCCTGGAGTGTCACACGTCATGTGTGACAGTTTTCAGTCGCAGGAGGTCTGAAATTAGGTTTTGAAATAATGCCAGGGCTGAGGTCATTGTTTCTCTTTTTTGCCACAAACAAATAGTAAACTGCTATACAAAAAACTTTCTTTCCTACTCTGAAATTCCATGAAAACCCACAGGGGTCTGGGGGCTGGTGGTGGGCATGTATGATCATTATACATACACAGTGTGGCCTGTCCAGTGGTGTGCTGGTAAATGTTTCACAACTGGTTCTTGCTCTGTTTTCTAGCGTTTACCAATGTCCACCACCTCCTGTTTCAAGCTGCCAACAAAGGACACTGAACGCTGCATGGGAAGAGATGAGAAATAGCATACCATTACATAGTATTTCCACCATACATACAATCAGGGCACGCTACATAATCTGTGGATCCCAGCGCAAAATGAAAATGCGAGGCCCTTGTTAAAAATGTATTAACAGTTTCAAGATGATAATGGCAGAGTGTTCAACCAGGCATTCACCCTTCTGAGTGCAGGGCCCTGTGTGACTGCTCAGGCCCATGCCCATGGAGCCAGCCCTGGTTACAAGAGACGTAAATAACCTCAAGAGCATAGATGGTAGTAAAATAATTAGAAAGTAATGACTTCTTAGTATTTATTACCTAGTGGGTGGTGAACTAGGATCCAACAACCTGACTGCCCAAGCTGCTATCCCCACTCCCAGCCTTCTTTATAGGCATTGCCCACAGTTCATTCATTCATTCATTCATTTATGCTAAGACAGGCACATGTTAGGTGCTGGATTTATAGCCCTGAACAATAACCTCAATCTCTGCTACAGCTCCCTGTTCTCCTACCCATCACTGTCCCTCACTCTTCAAGCCCCACCCCAGTCTCTGGAGCCAGATTTCATCTGGCAGGTTAATAGTTAACACTCCAGTGGTAATGACTTCATATGGACCAAGTACTGGCCCCTTGAATGTTCTATATGCACCACACCTTAAGTGTGTCAGCTCCCTCTTCCCCAGACCTTTCCACCTCCTGCCCACCTCCATCCCTCAACCAGGAGTTGTTATTCAACAGTGTCTCAGAATCTTCTGGTTTATGCAGTCTCTTCTGGGTAACTCATGGCATTTTAGTTTTTCAGATTCTTCTATGCCCTGCTCCTTTCGCAAATCATGATGGGTGTATGGTGGCCTTCATATGACTGCATCATGGTGCTCAGGCCGAAGACCTGAGATCCATGCTCTGCCCTCAGGAACCCAGCTAGTCTCAGCCTCATGAGATCTTGTCTGGTCTGGTCCCTGGGTCCTTTGTGCTGACAAATAGTAGGGAGTGGTTGGTGAACTTCTAGTTAGTTCTTTCAGCAGGGTCAGGGGCTGGGGACTCCTTAGCTGACCCAGTCCCACTCAGGCTCTTGCTAGAGGTGTTAATCCCTCTGAAACCTGGCTAGTCCATCAGCCACATTCCATGTCTTTCCTTGGAAAACAAAGGAACTCTGGGACTTTTTGCACTATACGCAGGACCTAGGAGAGGCTCGAGGGTGCTGGCTCAAGCCTTCTCTCTGCTTCACTGCCATTGTCACTCTGCTTTCTACAAAAAAAAAAACAGCAAGGCAAAATCCCCTGTACTCTCAACTTTTCCCTCAATCTGTCCAAACCCCTATCCCAGGATTTTACCCCAGAAGGGAAAAATCAGATATTCTCCTGACCACCTGTTTCCCAGCCTCTGCCAATTTTTGCTCTAGTCCACCAGGCTGGAAGAGGTGGACTTTTCCAGAACCTCCACTTCATGTAGAAGAAACTTTCCTTATGATGTCACCTGTGTTCTCTCTACCCCGATAGAGAGTGAAGATCTACAACCTACTCCAACAGGACATGCTAATGGGGGATTCAGGAATTTAGAAAATCATTTATTCTGGCCAAAGACTGGCTTTCAATACGTATTGCAACTCAAAACTCCCATTTTGGGGACCAAAAGCAGAGCATCAATCCCTTCCTTCTCTTGGCATTCCTGTGCAAATGTCCACCGAATTGAATTTCCTTGGCTGCAGTATAGGGGACAGGGGACACTGAAAAAGCCCCAGCAACATAATGATGCCTGGTAGGCCCAGGTAAGGAGTTCAGACTTTACCTAAGGCCGTGGGAATCCACTGAAGGGATTTAAGACGGAAAGTGACATGGTTAGATAGATCACTCTGACAGCTATTTGGAAGACAATAATAGCAGGCAAATAGTTATTGTGTGCTTACTAAGTGCCAAGTACTGTTCTAAAGTGATTTACATGTAGTAACTCACTTAATCCTCATAATAAACATTTGAGGTAGATATTACCATTATCCCCATTTTACATGTGTGGAAACTGAGACACAGAGAAATTATGCAGTCTGCACAGGGACATCAAAGGGTAAGAATGGGATCAGGATTTGAATCCAGGCAGTCTCGAGAATCCAGTTCCCAGGGTCTTAACATTTAGGAGAACAAATTATGTGTGTGTGTAGGGAGTGTAAAACTGGAACGAGGAGACCAGTTTTAATGCTATTGCAATATTCAGATATGATGTGATGGTGGCCTGGACTGGGCAGGTGCCATGGGACAGAGAGGCAGAATGAATGGGAGAAATATTGGAGTGTGTGTTTGATGGGAGATATGGGCACAGTTGGGAAGAAATCTAGGATGATCCCTATGTTTCTATTCATTGAGATAGAAAAAGCAAGAAGAGCCAATCTTCCCTAATACCCCTCTGGCCTCCCCCACCCATCCTGTGTCTTCTGTTCTTCTTAAACTGTCCTCAAGACCTACCTCCTCTGCAATGCTTCTCTAACCAGCCCAGGACATGGGAATCTACCCTATGAACAATTAAAGCGTTCATTTTCTTTTTTTTTAATTTTTTGTTTATTGCAGTAACATTGGTTTATAACATTTTATAAATTTCAGGTGGACATGATTATACTTCTATTTCTGCATAGATTACATCATGTTCACCACCCAAATACTAATTACAACCCATCACCACACACATGTGCTGAATTATCCCTTTTTCCCTCCTCCCTCCCCCCTTCCCCTCTGGTAACCACCAATCCAATCTCTGTCTCTAT